CCAGGGACCACCGGGTCGAATGAGCATTTACGGTATGTGAAAGCTGACGACAGTAATTCCCCGCCGTTGAATGAGCGAACTGTCGTACTTGAAGAAGGAGGCCGAGTTGAATTGGAGCTCGATCAGATCTGGAATAACGACGAGTTGTACGTCTTACCGGGAGTAATGCGTCGCGGCAAACATTGCATAGAACTTGAGCCACTCGGCTGGCAACGCGTGTCGCACGTCGGAATAGGCTTAGCAGGCGCGCAGGCCTATCATTTAACACCAGTCGACCATCATCGTACTCATCGACGGACGCAGTCGGCTCGGACTCGCCCTGTGCATCCGAACGAACAGTGGCCAATGTGGACGGCCGAATCCAATAGCACAGCTCAAAGAGGGAACATTGGCAGCCATGCTTTGCAGCATCACCAGCTTCACAATTCCTCCTCATCTCATAAGTCGCCGCGTGGCGATGTTAGCCTGAGCCGTAAGATTCTCATGGTGGTAGATGCGAAAGAGCCACATGGTGACGTGCCGGACCATGGTTCTCACGCTGCTTTGCACGTTGAAGTCCGGACTAATGTTCGTCTGAAGAACATGACCGGTGTGGTGGTGGATACGAAGCTTGGTCGAGGAGGAGATGGTGTGCGCGCCTTCCTGTCGCCCCGTGGCGCAATGGTCATGCCTTTGAGCATTGTGCGGCAGCAGCCCATGCTAAGCTTGCGCCGCCTCGCTCAGGATGATATGGAAGCAGTATCCGGGTCACCAGGAAGTGGCCTGGAGGACTCCGGAGTTCTACTTCATCCTGCTTTGTTTGACGCACGCACGCACGAAGCCTTGCGCCGCACAAGGGGGCTGGAAGAGAGATCACTAGCTTTGCATCACCGCGTGATTGGGACTGTGGCAGCGAATGTTGCTACTCAGCACTGCGAAGTTGATGCGGGGAACCCGAAGGATCCAGTCAAACAAAAGGAAGGGGAGGATACAAATTTGGAAGGGCAACATGCATCCCCCAAAAATTTTCAATCACCCTCCACGCCCGATGCAGTAAAAGCCCGAAGCTCTCAAACCATAAGATCACAAATGGCTATAGATTGGATCATAGCCATCCTACCGCCGTATCAATTGAGTAACACCTTGCCTTGTCTTGTACACATCGAAGCATTTCAGCCCGAACACACACCGCTGCGAGGAAGGCGCTTCCAGATGCAAGATATCAAGGAAAGGAAACATAATAATAGGTCGCTATCGTTTGGTTCGCCATCCTCGATGCGTCAAGGACCGGTTGATCCTGCTTCGGACATCTTTTCACTGCCACTCGACTTGTTGCCTTTGGTATCTTCCACTTCAGACGCAAGAGTGGGTGGAGATAGCGATGATTCACGGAGTAATTTTGAATATGCCAGCAATCGGCCTTTCACAAGCTTTGGAGAGCCAGGACAGAAATTGTATTTGGACAAGGTGAAGGCTGAAAGCACAGGCGTACATGAAAGTGGAGAGAAGACTCCAGTCGGGGAGTCCCATGAGAACATGGTCATGGTGTGGAGTGGATGCATTGAGAGCGGGCATCACACGAACTTGGAGCTAGTAAAGCTAGATCGATCTTTATACGTCCGTGTGCGTCTGATGGGAGAGGCTCAGCCGGGACCTTGGTCCCTTCCTGTCCATATACCTCCATGGGCTCATTTGAATCGTACCGCCTTTAATGCCGATAGAGAATCCGGATTGAATGAAGGATTGGAGCTTTCGTGGATGGAGAGTGGAAATGGAAGTGAATACCACGGTGATGCCCGTTTCGTGAGGCGCTGGCGGTTGAAAGGAGCGAGACGCCTGGCCTTGTGCGCAGATTACTGGATCATAAATAAGACTGGTTTAGCTTTAAGCTATCGTCCGACCCCGTTGCAAGAAAGAGGGGGCCGTACAGGCTCACCCTTGTTCGAGGGCGCGACTACAGGTGAAGCTCATGCAATGGAATCAGCGCAGCGGCACTCACCGCTTCCTTTTGAGGCGACTACGGCGCCCCCCACATTAGGGGCGACGGCTCAGGGTGCAAATTGTCGTTTCATTTCCGATGGCATTCATCGGCGTTGCTTCGGGCGAACTACACGTTTGCCTTTGCTGATAAGCTGTCCAGCCAAGACCTTGCGGACGATGCCATATGCCTTAAGCTGCGAGGCAGTCAATGCACCTCTTTTCATCAGCGAATTACGCATTGAAACGTACGGCAAGGACCAAGTGCTGCCAGCCACGGTAATCCGATGTTTTGAAACTGGCTTCCCTTTGTTTACAAACTCAGATATTCGTGTCACAGAATTACCTGCGCCAGTGCAGGAGAGACTGCGGCGGCCCGATGGCGTGTTGTGTATTTTGCGCGAGCGCTTGGTGGCAAAGCAGAGCAATAGTGATCAGCAGGATTTGCAGGATGGAAATGAAATGGTGACCTTTGTTGTGTCAGAGGACAGCTACGTTTATGCATTTTGCTGCCGTAATCGCCCAGGAGACGACTGCGAGGAGGAGCGCGGTAAGGGGCGGCTGTATCCCGCTTGGCTTACATACGAAGGTTTCCGTATTCCTCCCAATAGCGGGGTGCTTTTGACATCGAATCAGCACAGATGCTATGTGCCCCACCGACGATTTTATTCTAAAGGCAGCACTGTCCGTTTGGGCAAGATTGCCCGACATGCATCCGCAGCACATTACACCGTGCATTCAACGCTTGCTGCGGATGTGCGAAGCATAGACTTGTCACGATCTGAGACGAGCACTTCAAGCACAGCCAAAACCATGCACTGTGAGCAACCTTCACTATTGTCGAAGCAAGAACACGACGCAGCTCGACTTTGTCGTTCAGAGACGGATAACAACGAAAGCTATCCGGCTGCAGCCGCTGTCAAACCCAGAGGCAAGTCGCCAAGGGCAAAGTTGGATGAGCTCTCCGGGGCTCAAATGGTTTTCATGATTTGCCGCGTGGATGATGAAGAAGGGACAAAAGAGCTTGATGTCCGACAAATTAAGGTTGAGCGCTCTATGAGGGATCGCATGCTTTGCAATCGACAGTATGCTTTGACTCCTCATTTCAGCCGTGGTGATCAATTATATGTCGACCGCAAAGCGTCCGATTATGCTCTGGAAAGCCTCCCACCCGCACTGGCGCCGGTTCCACTCGTGGCAATTCAGACTGCGCAAGGCGATCGGCGCGGTGGCAATTCTTTTGTAATGAGCTTTAGCGTCTCTCGTCACTGCACAGTCATGCTGGCATATGACGACCGTGCAAGCTCTCTTCCTGGGTGGCTTTCTCAATTGTCCTTTGAGTCTACAAATTGGAAGATTTCGGGGTCTAAACCGGGTGCGGTTTTTACGATTTTCAGACGAGATCTATCAGCACATACCACCCTTCGTTTGGGAGGTAACAATGCTCATGGGGCCCGTGGATGCAAAGCCATGTATTTGGTTATGCTTGTTCCCTCACCCGCGCCTTTGCCAAATGCACCATCAGATTTATCTGTGCGCTCATCTGATAGCAAAGGATGGCTCGATGACGAGCTGAAGGACCTGATTGACAAGAGCGATGCAAGACTGAATGTTGATGACGAAAGGTTGGACGCAAAAGATAACGATTTGTCTTTATATTGGAACGGCCAGATGAATGGAACCTTGCGAATTATGGCACCATTATTCGATACGTTGGGTCGCGATTGGTCTTCTCCTTTTAATGTGGACGCCATAAGCACGACGGGACAGGTTGAAACGCCCAGCGCTGTTCTAGGTGTGTCAGTGAAGCCTTTGCCCGGAATTTTTCATCGCACTCGAGCCGTGACGCTCTGGCCTCGATTTATAGTGATAAATCGTTTACGCAAGTCAGTGGACGTGCTTCCTTTACTACGCTCAAGGTATCTTGACAATCAAAGTGGTGGAGAGAGCGGCGGTCGTGTCATGCGAAATACAGTTGCAGCGATGCTTAATCGTCCGTCCTCTGTGCTGGAGAAAGGGACATTAGTCGATGCCGAAAGTAACTCCAAGAAGACGACAATAAAGGGCAGTAAGCCGCTGCCGAGGACCGGCGTCCAGGCGACGCCCGACTCGGGTGCCTTAAAAGGCCAGCTTACACCCACGGATTGCTACGGGGTTCTTCACGCTGGGGAGTGTATGGCAATTTACGGCTTTTTGCCATTGCGATTTCTCCCGTCAAATCTGCTGCTACCAGCAGCCTTAAAAAAAAGTCGTGCCGCCGCCTTGCAACACCACAGCACGTATCAAATGAGAGACGATGACAAAGACGAGACAGCCATGGCACACGCTTTATGTTTCCGCCTTCACAATGCAGATACAAGCGATGAGTCTCAACAATACTCATTTTCACATCCAGTGTTAAGTGAGGATGTTGGCGAGACCTGTGTGTGGTTTTGGCGGGATTCTCGAGGTGTATATCCAGGTCCCTTAGTTTCTGCGAACGTGACAGTTCACGCCTCGACAGTGTTCATGACGCTCCGAGACAGCACTCTCAGTCCACCTTATCGCATAGAGAACCGTTCTAGCTGGGCATATTTGCGATGTAAGCAGTCGGGCACGTCCGATGACACTTTTGCTGTTGGTCCCATGGCGTATAAATCATTTTCATGGCAAGAACGAGATCAACTGCACCGTCTTAATGTGTCGGTGGAGGACATTCCAAATAAAGATGGGGGAGGACCAGCATCCAGTGTCGCCACCGCTGAATATTCGCTGGACGAAGTGGGACCTAAAGAAACCATGCTCATCGCCAGCAGGGCTTTCTATAGTGGAAGTGGAGTTGGGGGCTTCGGAGTTGGTGGAGTGAGCGGCAGCAGCCTTGCAAGGAGTCTTACCATCAAAGCACGTCCTCCGCAGCAGAAACTATACGTGCACGTCTCTACGGCTGGTCGGACGCGAGTTATTACTTTTTCGGATTTACCCCGTGACGATTTCCGCAACCGGCTAAATGAGATGGCCCTGCTGAGCTGGACATGGAGCCTTTTCCAAGAACTCTATAATTCTCTCGACATCCACGTGGGTTTGGCAGGCTTCACGCTCAATTTATTGGATATGGATGGCTCAGGACGGCGCGTTGTAGAGCTGCTTTCCCTGACTCTTGATCGTCTCGAGATAAGGAAGGAGGGCGGAAAAGACAGGGCCCAGCTAGCCCTGTATCATATTCAGTTAGACGATATGCGTCCCGGGGCGACTTTTGCAGTCATCATCCAGCCCGCCGATTCGGGATGGCATACACCTGCACGACGAAGCAAAAAGCTGAAGGCAGCGGCGATGGCAATGTCGGTTAGTTCTACAGGAACGTGCACTGAACAGCAGACTGAACGACCAGCGGCAGCGAAAGAAGATGAACATGTATTTTCCAATTTGGTGCCCTTAGTCCGCGTCACAGCAGAGCCGGAGCTGCATACACCTTGGTCCGAAGTCGTACATTTTCGGGGATTGGAGCTTTCTGTGCAAGAGCTTGAAATGCGGGTAGATTTGGACACGCTGTTTTCGCTCGTTGCCTATATAGGGCGTCTGTCGAGATTCGACTCGGAGCGAGAAGAAAGAGCTGCGACAGCCGGTGATATTTATCACCATTATTATAACCAGCATCGAGATCCATCCATGCGCAGCCTTCGGACCAATATCATGGACGAAAAATCCATATCATTGGTTCGTCGCCTTCTACGATCCAAGGTGCGCGTGCCCGACGCAGCCCTAAGCGAAGCCGTCGGGCAACGGCTTGTTTACATTGAGCTTTTCCATCACTCTTCTTTGATTGTCGGGATGGAACTCGTACCAGGCGGAGGAAATTTTCCTTCCCGAAAGGAAAGGGCAAAACAGACAGGTCTGCCAGGCAACCGGATGGATGGCAGTCTGGGCTTGGATCAAGAGTTGGACGAAGCATTGGTCAGCGGGCTGGAGCTAATTGGCACGGGTGTTGTGCAGTTGCTTGCAGATATGGCGCGAAGCCTTGCCCAGCTCAGTGGATTGACCTTGGTCTTTAATGAATTGCTTTTTACCCATTACTTTGGAAGTCATTATGATTTGGGTCACATCGTAGTCCTGTCCCTTCGCCAGCAGGCCATTACTCAGAGTTATAAGCTATTGGGTGCCATGGACCTGTTAGGAAACCCTCTCAACCTATTCTTGGGCTTCGGCTCCGGCGTTGTGGAATTTTTCAGACGCACGCAAGCAGAGCTTGTGGGCGATGCGGACAGCAAAGGTGAGGGGCTACGACGCTTGGCGAAAGCAGTGATAGGTGGCCCTTTCTCGAGCGTCAGTAAGATCACCGGCACGGTGGCATCCTTGCTGGAGGAAGTAGTTGGCGTGCGGGAAATGGCGGCGATGGCCGAAGAAGGAATGAGGGATGAGCTTTCTTCTTCAACTGCACGGGCCATTGGCCACCAGACAGAAGACGGGGGTAGCAGCGCTGATGGCTGGAGGGGGCGTGCACCGCCGCCGCAACATTTAGGTGAAGGTATACTGAAAGGAGGAGAGGTCTTCTACAAGTCTGTGAAGAGTGGTGTCAAAAATATCTACGATCTACCCCAGCAGGGTGCGTCGCGCGAGGGATTTTCGGGATTTTTGAAAGGCATGGGAAAAGGCGTAGTCGGAGCGCTCGCTGCACCGTTGATCGGGACTTTGGGTGGCATTTCTCGCGTGACTGATACGACAGCATACTTCGAGAAACCAAGAATACTTCGACGACGCCGGGCAGTGAGGGTTGCGCTGGAAAGTCAGGCGTTGCCGTTGCTGGAAATTGTGCAGGTCGTGCAGGAAGAAGGGGAGGAAAAACAAGAAGAATGTGACGAGAAAAGCAAGTTCGAGGAACCTGCACTGCGACGAGGGCAGAAACAATTTTGATTCCAAAACGTCACACGAATTGTGTCGTGAACCATGCTGTACAAATTGAAGAAAGCATTGGAAAAGAAGGCGCGCAGAGTTTTCTGAGGAGCATGTATTGTGAATCTTACTTACGCAAGTAATGAAAAAAATCAAATAAAGTATTGCGAGTGGAACATGCAATTTCTTCTATGCTTTTACTTTTCAATCTTCGGTCTTATCCGTTTTTTTTGGACGCCCGCCCTCCCGCATACTACAAGTTGCAGAAGTCCAACCCGGAGAAAGGCACCTTTGAAGAACTAGAACCATCCTTCTGTTGGAGCACACTTCCTAAGATAAAAATTTTAAAAATCTGACTTACTTTATCTCTGCCGCTCATCTGTACCTGTGTCCCCATCGTCAAGAACGCGCGCGAATGTTCGACTAGGGTCCCTGTAGCGCATGAAGACCTCTGACAGATCGTGCACCACATTAGAGAAAATTGGCGTGTTCAAGGCATCTAAGTTTTCACGAAGTTGATCCACCGACGTGGCGCCCACTATAGTTGACGTCACAAACGGCCGCGAGTATACCCATCCTAATGCTAGCTGAGCCATCGTCAGGCCATACCGGGAGGCAATTTCTTTGTACTCGAAAACACAGTCTTGACTCTGCAACGTACGATAGCGCGCCATGTATCCCGGGAATCGGTTCAAACGGGCCTCAGATGCGCGTCCCTTGAACATGTATTTGCCAGAGAGGACACCGCCAGCCAGAGGAGAGTAGCAGAGAACGCCTAAATCCTCGTGACTCGGGGAGCAGATCTCGGACAGGCCCATGTCCATCTCGTTGCGGTAAAGCAGGTTGTAACAGTTTTGCACGGAGACAACTTCCTGCAGACCTAGTCGACGCGCCGTTTCAAGAAATTTCATGACACCATAAGGACTCTCGTTGCTCAAACCAATGTACCGAATTTTACCCGCTTTGACAAGCTTGCCTAGCGCAGTCAGTTGTTCCTCAAAGCTGACCACATCCTCACGCTCACGCTGAAGGGAAAAGCGACGCGAATGCGGGAATGGTGTAAGAAGAAGGATGAATGATTCCGTACCTAGGAGTCTTATCGATGAGTGTGGTTGTCTGCTGCGCACGTCGTACGCCACCTGATTAGGAGTACACTATCTTCCCTGGGGCCCTCAAATAGCGACTTACCGATTGATCGTACAAGTCAACGCCGAAGAGATTCAAATAGCGGTCAGGCCAGTGTAACTGTGCCAGGTCAATATAATCGGTACCTAGACGCCGTAGGCTTCCCTCAATCGCCTCGGTGATCTGCCCTGCGGTCAGCCGGACGGGCCCCCCGTCCTCTCGCAACCACGTCAAAACGTCGCTGTAGCCCGTCACCTTCGTCGCCAGAATGACATCTTCGCGATTCCTCTTCTTGAGCCATGAGCCAATGATCTTCTCGCTCAATCCATGGGTATCCGGGTCAGCAGGGACAGGATATAGTTCGGCTGTGTCTATCAAGTTCACACCGTACTCGTCGAAAGCCATGTTCAGCTGGGCATGCGCCTGCTCCTCTGTGACCTGCTCGCCCCATGTCATGGTCCCGAGGGCCACTTCCGACACTATCAGATCGCTTTTCCCGAGTTTGCGGTACAGCATACCGTGTGTAAGCCGCTATCAATGTTTATGGTGAGATATGCGCAATGAGTGTCCTATGTTTTGCCAGATTGGCGGCGCTCGGCGGACTCACGAAAATCACTGAAGCCTTTGAGAGCTAATAAGTTGGAAGGCACGCCATCTGACATTAACCTCACCTTGATGTCTTTCTTCTTGTAAGCACGCGCGGCAAGCGCGACGCGTGGGTGCGGCTCTCCCACTTTAGGGGAATCCATTACATCCATATACTTCGCCACACGGATGGCATCAATCCTTCTCCGTTCCAGATCCTGCGTTGTGCGTAAGTCAATGAAAAATAAATACATAGATCCTATAACGTCGTCGACTGCATACTACAAGCTCATCTGTGGTCGACACCTTCACCATATTCCTCCTCCCATACGCCCCGCCTTCCAAAACTCTCGCAACCATCTTATTTTCAGCGTACCTTCTCATCGTAGAGGACTGTGGTGTCCACCTCTTCTCCATACTTCTTCTCCCACTCCTCGGGGGTCAAGGCGGCATCAGGGTCCTCGATCAACTCAGGTCCATATCCCGTCTTCTCATCGTCCATTCCAGGAGTACCCGCCCCGCCGGTGCGAATGGAGTAGAGCGGCAAGAGACTATCTTTCGTCCTCGCTCTTGCCGTACCCCAGTCTCTGCATGTCCAACCGCTTTGTTGAATTGATCTCGGCCCAAGGACGCTGAAGGCGGCTGCTGTGATGCTACTTTTACAGCTGCAGGAGATTCCAGTCGCCGCTGCTAGCACGAGAGTCTTGGACCAGGTTGGCATTATTGCGACCCTCTTTGCTCGCATGAAACTCGCCCGACAACACTTCCCGCCCTGTGCCATTCAATTGGTGAGCAAATATTGGTTAGAACGCCATCAGGAGGAGGATACTCAGGGCAATCTGCCCTCAAGTGGAAGAAACTCAGGGCCACCCGCGCTTGTGAACTGCAACAGCCCCTGTGATCATCTAATCGTCAAACTCCTCGATATCGACCGTCTCAATGCAAAAACTTAGCAAGAGCTATTCTACAACAAACTCTTCAACCACTTGGAACCTCTTAATCATGGCTCTACTGCTACATTACTCTATTTACGGTCCATATTCAAGCCTCTCACGTGATCGCTGCTGCGAGAAGCTCAACCCCCCCCTCGCCATGCGTCAGTTAGAGTATCCTTCAGCTCATCTCCTTACTGCCTCTTACATCCCCAAACGCACAGATTGAACAGTTCTCAAAGGTCGTCCTCCTTTATTAAGGAAGCTCAAATTTGTGCTATTTACCAAGTGCCACTGGGCTGGTAAATCACACTGGGAATTCGATAATTTAGCTCCCGTCGCTCCTTGGTAGAAGTAGCACCTGTGCAGACGAGCCTCTTGGAAATGGTTTTGGGGACTCGCAAAGGCACCTCGTCTTGCTTTTGCCTGTCCTTGACAAACTTGATAACAGTAACTATGTTTTCTTGCGCTGCGATAGCCAATTCTCGACACCAGGTAAATAATTTGGGGAAAATCACTGTGGCGGGAAGCACGCGTACGTGTCTCTCTGGGCACCGCCCAGAAGTTTCAGATGACGGTCAAGACGCCGGACCATGTCTCCGGCACCCGAATCCTACTCTTTGTCTGATATGAAATGCAAATCGAATTTATCTGAACCTGACTGAGACAGGCACAGACGGCCGCTTTCGGCTCGCTTTTGGCCAAGGTGCCGACCAAATCCTCGCGGACATCTCCTCGTCGTCTGCTCGCTCCCTGCGCGTTCACGCAGGCCCCCTCGTGCCGCCCACCACGGTTATTGGTGTCGCCTGTCTCAACCTCTACGACCCTCTACGTCTCAAGTAGCACTGCTGCACCCAGTACTTCCACCGCAACCACCGTGCCAGCCCGTTTGAAAGTCCGGGACATATTGATCAACGGCGACGACAGTTTGATCGGGCAACGCGTCACGGTCAAGGGATGGACCCGCACAATTCGCTCGCAAAAAACCTTCAGTTTCATCGAAATAAATGACGGCTCCTCCTTGGGGGGGTTGCAAGTGGTGGCGGACGCGGAGAAGGTCTGCGACTACGAGGCCGTCCTCTCCAAGATACACACAGGGGCTGCCCTGGGTGTCGTGGGCGTGATCAAGGCGAGCCCAGGAAAGGGCCAAAAGTATGAAGTCGCAGCGGAGAGCGTGGAGGTGGTCGGGGGCTGCGATCCGGAGGCCTACCCTCTCCAGAAGAAGCGCCACACGCTCGAGTTCCTCAGGGGGATCGCCCACCTGCGACCACGCACCAACACCCTGGCCGCCGTGGCCCGCGTCCGGTCCGCCCTGGCTTTTGCCACGCACAATTTTTCCAGGAGCAGGGATTCTACTACCTGCAGAGCCCTATCATCACGGCCTCTGACTGCGAGGGCGCCGGCGAGATGTTCCGAGTCACCACCTTGCCGGACAAGGTTTCGGAGTTGCCGCGGGTGGAAGGGGAGGAGGATCGCATCGACTACTCCCACGATTTCTTTGGTGCCCCCGCCTACCTGACCGTGTCGGGGCAGCTCTCGGGGGAGGCCTACGCGTGCGCCATGGGGGATGTGTACACGTTCGGACCCACCTTCCGGGCCGAGAACAGCCAGACCACGCGGCACTTGGCCGAGTTCAACATGATCGAGCCCGAGATGGCGTTCGCAGACTTGCAAGACAACATGCGCAACGCCGAAGCCTATGTGAAGGCCATCGTCAGGCATGTGCTCAAGGAATGCGAGGAGGATCTCGCCTTCTTCGAGAAATTTTACGACAAGACCCTCATGGCGCGGCTGAACACGGTGAGAGTTTGGGACCTTTTTTCGGAAGGTGTGGGAGGAGAACGATCATTATGGCCTGCCGGCTTCACCGACACTTGCAAAAGCGACACATCATTCCATTGGAATCTCCTCGCCGACACCGTTCACCCATTTTTCTCACCAAGTCATCTCCCTCCCTCCCTTCCTCCCTCCCTCCAGCTCGTCTCCGAGTCCTTCGCGCGCGTCGAATACACGGAAGCCGTACGTCTCCTCCAGGAAGAGATCGCGAAGGACAGAGGCGCTTGGCAGTTCCCAGACGTCGACTTCGGGACGGACCTGCAGACGGAGCACGAGCGTTGGCTGTGTGAGAAAAAATTCCAACGAGCCACCTTTGTGTATAACTACCCGCGCGAGATAAAGGCTTTCTACATGCGCGACAACGAGGACGGGAAAACGGTGGCGGCGATGGATCTGCTCGTCCCTGGCGTCGGAGAGTTGATCGGAGGTTCGCAGAGGGAGGAGAGGCTGGGGAGGCTGGAGGCGAAGCTAGAAGAGTTTGGACTAGACAAGGAGGACTACTGGTGGTATTTAGATCTCAGGCGCTTCGGGAGTGTGCCACACTCCGGCTACGGACTGGGCTTCGAGAGGCTCGTGTGCTACGTCACGGGGGTGGAAAACATTCGGGAAGCGATCGCCTTCCCTCGGACGCCGGGAAGCGCTACGTTTTGAAATGGGTGGCGGGAATATAGATTGCAAAACCCCGGCGAAGGAGGAGAGAAAGACCATTCGCATAGACCAATTGCTTACTTGTTTTAAGTTTTCTTTGCCTGCGAATGTACAAACATAGAAGGCGTGCGAGACTTTTCCTTATTTCTGCACATGCATTTCAGATCCCAGTCACCTGGAAATGGGACGCAAGGGAGTGAATGCTCGGACCAGTGGGAGCCGTCGGCGGGCCTCCAGAGGCCCCCCGCCCACTTCGACCACCTCTCCTTCCTCCCCTTTCACCCTTTCTCCCTCGCTCCCCGCCCTGCCGCCCTTCTCTATCGCTGCCCCCCCCCTTGCGACCGCCGCCACGCCCAAGGCCCCGGGACTGCCCGCGCCCTTTGCTGAGATTCTCCCTCTCGTGCTTCTGGCTAGGCACACGGTCCTGGTCAGCGCCCCGCTGAGCATGCGAGGCCCCTTCCTTTCCACCAGCGGACGTGGAAGCAGTTTCAGGAGGAAAAGCGCTTTTGATGCCATTCCCAACCAGGGATACGCGAGCCCCTGGGGCGCGATCCTCGCTGTCAGGCCTGGACCCCGAGGTCTGAGGCTTGAACGCATCAAACGCTGGCGGCCCTTGATTCGCGCCGTTCCTCGGTTTCGCTTGCATGTCTTTGCCCAGTTTGTATTGCCGTTCAAGGAGACGGCTGCTTTGGAAGTTGTTGGCAAGAATTTTTACCTCTCCATCCACGCCCAATACAGTGCTTGGCTCCAGGAGCAATTTATGCTTTACGTATCGAACGTTCTTGAGCAGGATTTTAGTCCCCGGCGGTGTATCCAAGCTAAGCTTGGGTATACGAGCCAGTTCGATGGCAGAATACTTCTTTGACCCATCTGTGACACGCAACATCAAGACGCGTCCCTGCCCACCGTCGCCACTTAGTTGTTTGCTGCTCGGCTTTGTTACGTCAAGCATGCTCACAACCTGGAGAATGAAAGCTCCGGCAACTTTCCCTGCGACGTCCTCCATCTTAGACAGTAGCACACGTTCTCCATCTAGTTTTCGAATGTCGCTCTGATTGATGTGTCAGTAACAAGCCTCATGAGTGGAAAAATATGAAGATGGATAATTACAGCAACCGACCAAGCGGGTAAAGTCCAGATGGGTTTAAAAACAATAGCAACCGACCTGGAGAAGATTTGACAAAGTCATCCCAGAAATTGAGCCTCACATGCTTGTGACCAGGACGGCTGATTCATAATGACGCGTGCTGATTGTCTGGATGCGATGGGCATCAATAAAGAAGGCAAATATGAGTTGCTTTCACTGCAACGTACCATTATCCGACGAGTCGTTGGTCATTCGTAACAGTGAGATTCAGACCTGTAGTATTTCCCATTTCTTCTTGCTCACATGAAATTTTGGCCCAGATACGTCAAGTAAAGTGAGGAAAATTACACTTATCAACATTAAGGCCGCCTGACAGGGACAGAAGTGTCCGTGCATTCCACTTGACTCTGCTAACCTCCCCACCCCCTGCACGTCAAGCTAGTCAGGCTACTAGTCTTACTCCTATTCCGCAGCGTCTCCCCAAATAATGCAGCACTTAACTGATGCGTCACCCCAGCAGCGTCCGTACCCTAAGAGTAAACTCATATCAAGTTCCTCGTCGCGAGACAAACGGAGGTCGTCGGTCCTTCAGCGCCAACGTGCGGCCAGAAGAGAGCTGACAGATAGTTTACGAGCTCTACATAGGGACACCATCGCAGAGGATGACGTGGACTCGATGACGAGAAGTGGGAATGGTAGTCAGTTGTATGAAAGCGATGTCATTCAAGAGGACGATGGAATGATGGTGGATGGTCAAGGACAAGTACAGGCTGAGAAAATCGCGCTCAGGCGGAAGAGAGCGCGCGCTAGACAGGCAACAATTTACGCAAATCGATTCGCGATTCCTGAGTGGATGATCGAGATACCTCACGATCTACATCCTACGGGAGGGGGTGGTGGCTGGTTGGTCATGCCTCAACCTATGGGCAAAAGGTGCTTGATGGCGGCCACGGGCGGGTTAACCTTAACACGCATGACAAGCGGAGAGGTGCTACATAGGCTTGCTTCGCCGCTACCAAATGGTTCTGCATGGGCTAAAGGTCCCAAAAACGGCTGGACCTTGCTGGATTGCGTGTATCAGGAATCAAGTCGGACGTATTATGTCCTTGACCTCCTCTGCTGGCGGAAGATGGAGTTGTATGACTGTGCCTGCGATTTCCGTCTTTTCTTCCTACGCTCCAAATTTGCAGAAGAGATGGAGCACCGAGCGGGAGCCATTCTCATGCATGGCACAGACGCGAGCAACGAGACGTTCCACCTCGAACTGTTGCCGTGGTATGAGTGCCACAGGACAGGCCTGCAGATGCTCCGAAGCGCCTCCTTTCCCTTCGAGCAGGACGGGTTCCTGTTCTGGAACAAAGAGGGATACGTCCAGGCGGGGCTGACTCCGCTCATTCTCCTCTGGAAGGACGCACACTCCTCTCACTCGCTCTACCGGGACTCCCTGCTGCCACGATGGAGCGCCGTCCTGTCCGTGCGGCTGTGCGAGGACCCTGGGGAGGGAAAGACACAGGACTACCTCTTGCTCACTCTAGAGGGGTTGGCTGTGGGAAGTGTAACCCGCGATGAGTTTCACAGGTGGTCTCGTTCACAGGAGCAGGGGGAGGCAGGGAGTATTGGTGGAGAAGGGGACATCGAGGGAGAGGGTTTCCTGGTTTGTTTTTGGTACGAGGAAGCGACCGAGGATGAGACGAGTCAAGAGCACCGCCTGCACGGCCTAACCTATCGCAGGATCTGCGTGCCAAGCAGCGAGACCGCGGATTGCTGGAGCAAGCTTTTGTTCCAGAGCCGCGTCAAAAGGGGCATGGATGGAGGTGCCGTAACTTTCGACATGCTCTTAAGCGACGTGGAAAGGGAGATCGCTCACACGGGCACGCTTCGAGAGGGGAGGATCCAGGCAAGAGGGAGTGAAAAGTGATGATAGAGAGAAGAGGAGGCCCCCTGGGTGTCTGTATTTTGGGCCAGATATTAGGGCTACAAGGGGATGTACTATATATAGTATAAGTTTTTACTATTTATGAACATATAAATTGATATATATATGTATATATATAAATGTGTATTGTATGAATACACTTATATATCCTGTATAATTCTTTCAGAGGACGTGTATACGTGCTTGTGGGCACTAGATGTAAATATGTAGACAAAAATTCTACAGCCTTACTCTGCACTATCTTCTCATTTTTTAGTGTTAATGTTAAATTAATTGTTTTTAATACTTTGTACCCTTCCTTCAAGTATTTCCTCACTCCGCCAGCCCTGTGGCACTAACAAATTTATTCAAGGATTTCAAAATTTTCAGATCCTGCTCAGGAAACTGGACACTCTTGCCTCCCCTTCCTTTGCGACCGACAGCCCCCTGTCTTCCCTGCCACAACGCAGAAAAATCGAAGCCAAAGGGAAGTGATTTCCCACCGCGATCTGCCCCTGTCTCTCTTTCCTCCAGGAAGGCGTATGCATCCTGAAGGTCGACTGGGCCCGCCTTGATGGGCGCCGAAAAATGCGCAGGGATGACCCTTTCGAATTTCCACTCGCACACGCGCTTGATCCACTCAGTCACCTCCTTTTTGGCCCGGGAGACCACTAGAACGCGGATGACGGGCGATACGATCAGGCGCTGCTTGATCTTCTGGAACGTGTCCAAATTGGGGGGGCCTAGAAAGCAAGCTTGCAGGGCCATTTTCTTCCACAAGTCTTGCCCTACGCCTGCTTGCCTGAGAATTTCTGGCGGTTGATCGTCAATCCAAATGATGGCATCAGTGACTAGGAGAGTTCTTGATTTGCGGTGGAAAAAGGCGACCTCGCTGATGGAGCCTGTGAAGGGACGGAAGATCCACCCGGTGTAGTCGATTTCGTCGATGAAGGGCATGCTCTTCTTGTTCTCCTCGGTCAGCACGCCATCTACTCGAAAACCCAACGGAAGGTCAACAGGCCAGCTAAATTGCCCGGGTGCCACGTAAATCTTCGCCTTGGGAAAGAGGGAGGCGAAGCGAGCCATGTAGACCTTGTGCTCGATGGCAGTGACCGGAAGCACTACATATGCCACCTCTCCCAACTCCTTAATGAGTGAAACGCATTCGGGAGTAGGCGCCACCGGTGCGTGCACGAAGAGATCGCCATTTTTGAGGCGGATCACTGTAGACCTGATGTTAACGCTTACATTCACGAACGTCTGAGACTGCTCGAGAAAAAAGATGTCGTCTGAGAATTTGGTCCTGACAGTGTCCCTCGCAATCCATGGAGGCAAAAAAGCTGGTAAATAGAACTTCGATCCAAGGCCCGCTGGTTGTACCGGCGGCATCGGTTTGGTGGGTAAGAGCACAGGCGCTGCCCATGCGATGGTGGCGTCCCGTCCGTAAGGTGAGACAGTGGGCATGGTCGAGGGAAGGACTTTATTAGGATTTTGAGCCATAAACCCTACAGCTGTATGGAGTCCACATGCTGATACCAGTAGCAAGCCCAATTTTTTTCTTAATGGCATGATTTCTTTGCCTACGGATGATGTTGGTGTGGGACATCGTCAGTGTTCCTCTTCGACCTCCCCCCCCTTTAGCCATCAGAGATCCACGCATAGAGGCTATCGCGCACACGCACGCCTTCAAACGAGCGATATGAGCGTACTCTCAAGATTCGTTCCCTCCTGCGCCCTCCTTCTTGCCCGAAGCCCGCAGGAGCAGAGACGCAGGCGCCACGCGAGACTCCCGTGCTAACCCCCGGCTATCGTCATCGCCAGAGGCTGACGTGCGGCGAGAGGGAAAGGCAGTGGCGGGATAGTGGGTTCATGTTATATGGAGCCGCGACGCGGGACATGATGGCATCGAATGCACGCGTTGACTATTGCGCACGCCATGTTGACACCTTTTCAATGCCTTCCATGGACACAGTAACTCGGGAAGGGCGAACAGCTTGAGCCACGAAAAGTGTTGGGTAAGAGAGCAGCAGTTGACGCGAGGATTGAGTGGTAATTTGCTTCGATCGTAAACCCCACAAAGCCATTAAATAGGATGCCCTTACTTGCCGGAATTAATACGGGCTTCCAGCGTCTCTCCAAATACTTGTCTAAAGCGGCTCGTAAGCGCCTCCCCCTGAGCCCGAAGCGAACGGGGAAAGGCTTTTACAAAGGCAACAAGTGTGCATCCACGGGGCGCATAAACAGCATTGGTGGGTGACGTCCTTCTAAAACAACCCTCATTATATTGTATGCTTAAGTGCCGCCATCTTGGTAACCGCAGGCTTGAAGGAGTCCTAGTCAGTCTCACTCGATCCACTTCGGGCACGCCACAGGTCGGTTTCGCATGGACGAGAGAAAGAGAGTAGAACTGAACGTCCCGGATTTGACAGGCTTCAAGGTAATTTGTCTCATTGGATGGATGTGTAGTAATGTGTATGTGATCACCGTCCGAACATTTACGATATCCCTTTTTCGAACACGTTACAGCTCAAGCCTTATGTGTCACCAACTGTTTTTAAGTATCCTGTCGATGCTGGAATTATCTGGCCACCAACCAAAAAGACGACGAATTTTTTTGGCGTATGATAAATGTGAAAAACGTAATATTTGGAAAAGATCAAAGTCAAACAGAGCTGTGTGATGTTTGAGCGTTGCCAGGAGCGACTCCAAAGGATTTTGCCTTGATACTTTGTAATGCTGTTGGTTGGATTTTTTCTTTTTCAAATCCTGCTTTTTTCTCAAAGAGCACCAGCAGTTTTATTATAGACACGCAGGCCCTCAGTCAAGTCAGGTTTTAATCTTGGAGGGCTTCATGTTGGCTTGCATCTAAAATTGCCAGCATACAGTGAAGCGCAAGTAGAAGCCCATGGGCACATGTACGGAAAGAGGTGCTGATTCGAAACAAACTGCCACCCAGAAGGCTAACAAACCCACAAAAGATAACTTGCAAAGCCCGGATACATGTCAGCCAGCCTAATTAAGGGAGTCGTTGTTAACTTAGATGGCCCATATGCTTGGCGTACGAGCTTCACGACCCGAAACATCTGGCAACCACCAAATTGACTATTGAAAAAGCAAACTTCAGTCTTGTTGGGTTAACGTCAAAACTGCATTGATCTGGATACTTAATGGTAGTGAAGAGGGTCTTTTAATAGCTAGGTTCACTGAAGATGATACGTCACATAGCGGTGCAGGAGGTAGCAGGGTTCACGCGATCGGAAGGACGACGTGCACTGCACGGGCATATTTTGCTTTCATTTCTTATCCTCTTCTGGATCAAATGTCAGGATACAGGAGCTGGCCGCGGAGAGACATTTGATTTAAGACGGCTGTCAGGAGGTGCAGGGATCGGTAGCATCTACAACACGTCTTAGCCTTGCTCTCCCTCGCACAACCAGAAAATCATGCATAAAAACCTGCGCATTGTTGTGGAAGGTTGCTGTCATGGGGAATTAGACCAAATATACGCATCGATTGCGCTAATTGAGCAGGAATCGGGTCAAAACGTAGATTTGCTTATTTGTTGCGGGGACTTCCAAGCTGTGCGGAACAAAGAGGATCTAAAATCCATGAATGTGCCCAGCAAGTACCTGACCATGGCGTCGTTCCATCGGTATTACAGTGGAGAAAAGGTTGCACCAGTTCTTACGATTTTCATAGGAGGAAACCACGAAGCATCCAATCACTTGCAAGAATTGTATTACGGGGGGTGGGTGGCCCCTAACATCTACTACTTAGGGTGCTCTGGAGTCGTTTCAGTTGGTGGAGTGCGCATCGCAGGCATATCCGGGATCTACAACGGACGAGACTACCACCGTGGTCACTTTGAAGCTCCGCCGTACTCTCCCAGCACGCTGCGCTCGATTTACCACGTGCGGGAATACGAGGTTTTCAAGCTTGCCCAGCTAGCTTCGGGAAGCGGGGCACGAGGCGACTCCGCTCACGTGGACGTAATGCTATCGCATGACTGGCCGCGCGGCATCTATCACCACGGTGATATGGGGCAGCTTCTGCGGACGAAACCTTATTTTCGAAAAGAATGTGAGACAAACACGTTGGGCAGCCAAGCGGCGGAGCTCCTCCTAAACCTCTTACAACCGAGTTACTGGTTTGCAGGTCACCTTCACTGTAAGTTCGCAGCCGTTGTACGTCACTCCAGCTCAACCTCCCAGATGTCCACGCCAGCAAATGTGACGAAGTTCTTGGCGCTGGACAAGTGTTTGCCCAACCGGGACTTCTTGCAGCTGGTGGAGATCCCCCGCCCGCCCGATTGTTGGGAGCAGCCCGTACGTCTGGAGTATGACCTAGAGTGGTTGGCCATCCTGCGGTCAACGCATTCGCTTCTGAGTCGCGCAGAGAGGGAGGTGGTCCTCCCGCGAGAGTCGAGGCGGGTCGCTCCCGATGATCTCGAGTGGTAAGGCGCGGGCTCGGCAGTGGGCGAGACGCTGCTCTCGGCATGGGCGCCTTCCATTCTTAATAGCGAACTTGTGCTTATCTAGGCTTTTCATGTTTTTCAAACAATACTATATACTATACTGAGGTTAAAATTCCCCTCACACGAATTTCCTGTCGCAGGGTGAGGGCCCGCCTGGCCGCCGCCTGCAAGCGCCGAGGAGA